ATGCTTTATAAGGATAAGCCTCCCCATTTGGTTTAAGGTCTTGCTGTACCAGGATTTGATACGTTTTTCAAAGTGTCCTAGGACTTCCTTGCAGTGTTCTTTCCTCAGAATCCCACGACAAATAGGTGCTCCTAGGTAGGTAAAAGGCAGCTTTCCTCTTTTGATTCCTAAAGCTTTCTCCATGTTCTGAGTTTGGGAGGTGGTTGTGTTCTTTGATGTGTAGAATTTACTCTTATTAAGATTGATCTCTTGGCCTGATGCTTTAAGGTAAGTTTCTAGAGTGACCTTGAGCTTGAGCAGGTTTCTGGTTTCACCCCTGGAAAAGATCATAATGTCATTAGCATAAATAAGGTGGGAGGGGAAAGGGACCTGACCAGAATTGAATCTGAGGAGGTGTTGTGTGTTCATCTGGTTGATGAGTCTGCTGAAACCATCTGCTGCAAGTATGAATAAAAGGGGTGAGAGTGGGTCTCCTTGTTTTACACCCCTCTCCATTTTGAAATATCCTGCTGGCTCTCCATTGAGAAGAATGCTGAAAAAACTTCCTTTAAGATTAGCCATAAGCAGAGAAGAGGAAAGTTGATTGAAGCCAAAAGACTGTAGTAAGGCTTCGAGATACTCCCAGTCCAGTTTGTCAAATGCTTTTGCCATATCCATCTTGAGAATTAGATTACCCCCAAAAGTCTTTTTGTCAATGAGATGGACTGCTTCCCGTGCCATGGGGATATGGTCATCAATGGACTTACCTTTCTGGAAGGCTGCTTGTTCCTTAGAGATAAGCTTAGGAAGGATGGAATTGAGCCTGCTAGGATTTTGGTATTGATTTTGCTCATGAAAGTGGAGAGGGATATAGGTTTATAATCATCAAAAGTTCTTGGATTATCTGATTTTGGAATAAGTGACACGTAAGTGCTGCCATGAGCTCTTGGATTTGGCAAACCCATGAAGAATTCCTGAGAGGCAGTGAGAACATCCAAATTGATTATGTCCCATGTGGCTTTGAAAAAATTTCCATTGAAACCGTCTGGCCCACTTGCACTATTTCCATCTAGGTCCCAAACTGCCTGATGTACTTTTTCCAAAGTGGGTATGGCACAAATTTTGGAGTTGTCTTCACTGGTTAGAGTCTATGGGATTAGGGGTAGGATTTGGTCAAAGGAGGGGTGGTGGGACTTTTTGAAACTGTTAGCAAAAAAGGAGATGGCTTCTGATTTGATATCTGAAAGATTACTGGTGCCTGTACCATTAGATTTGATAACATGTGAAATAGAGAGTTTCTTTCTCTTTACCTTGGCATATGCTTGGAAAAGTTTGGAGTTGGAATCTCCCTTATCAAGCCATCTGATGTTTGCCTTTTGTTTCCAGTATTGTACCTCCAGATTGGTAGCATAGATAAGGTCTGCATTGGCTTTCTGCATTGTTTCTCTGTTCTGCTAGGTAGGATTGGTTTCAAAGTCCTTCTCTGCTTTGATGAACTGGTCTTCTGCTTCTTGTAGTTTTGAGAAGATGTTCCCAAACACTTCCTTGTTCCATGTTCTGAGAGCTGCTTTAAGGCTAAAGAGTTTGTTGGCTAAACCCCTCATTCCACCAATAGTTGGCTGGCAATCCCAGGTGTTTTTTACCAGAGTGTGAAAGGAGTCATGGAGAGTCCAAGCATTAATGAACCTAAAAGATTTTGGACCTGTGGAATTGGCTTTACTGCAATGGACTAAGAGTGGTTTATGGTCAGACTTGAATCTGGATAGGTGTTTGAGTGAGACCTCATCATAGTAAGCTAGGAGTGGCAGGTTTGTCATTACCCTATCCAGTCTCCTCCAAGTCCTTCCTTGGCTCCTAATCCCAGACCAGGTGAATAAGCCCCCCTGTGGGTCAAGAGTGATGAGGTTTCTGTTAGAAATGCATTCTGCAAATTCTTCCACTCCTTGAGTGTTTGGGATGCATTTTCCTTTAAATTCCGAGAGGGATGCAATAGTGTTGAAATCCCCCCCAACACTCCATTGGTGAGTGACCTTGCTAGTGTCTTGAAGATTACTCCAAAGTTCTCTTCTTTCATGTATAGTGTGGGCTGCATAAACTGAGGATATAAGGATTGGGTTTTGGTTGAAAGTTTGAAAGAACTGGCAGTGTGAAACTTGGTTACTGTCTTGGAAAGATGTAAGAGAAAGATGGTCATTATCCCAGAAGATCCATCTCTTGTTATTTGAGGAACTAATTGCATTAGAAAAACCAAAATGAAGCCTTAAGATTTCAAGTTGGTTGGCATTTGTGATGGGTTCTATAACACAAAGGAAGTGAAGGCTGTGTTTCCTCTTGAGAAATATGAGCCTGCTGAGGGAGGAACTTACCCCACAGGCATTCTAAAATATGAGCTTCATTAAAAAAGGTTGGGAGGTACAACCTTTCTGGCCTTGCTCCTGGTAGCATAGCCATGCGTGGATGTAGAGGGTTTCTCCTGAGCAGCTTTCTGTAAGGGCATGGAAACCTTGGAGCAGTGTGATAGGTCCATATTTCCTCAACCTGTTCTTGAACCGCCAAAGGTTCCCAAGATTGACAAGAATTTTTCGAGAGGAAAATGTCATCTTTGCTGCCTGGTAAGGGTTGTAGGCTGAAAGAAGGTTTAAAGGGAGTAAACTCCAGGCATGGGTTTTGAACAGAAGGGTTGAGAAAGGAGAGGTCTGGAGGGAAGCTGGGAGAGGGTGTGGGAGTGGTTAAGGTTTGAATGGGCTGAATATATATATATATATATATATATATATATATATATATATATATCCTTTTATTATATAAACATAGGATAGAGTTAGGTACCCATTAATTTTGTGGCTTTTTTCCATCCAAAATAGTTGTACTCTTAGGCTTTAGGGTTGTACCATACCATATACTCTCCCCCGTATGCCCCCACCGTTAGAAACTCCGTTACTAATTCTAAATAGCTCATGCGTATCCATCCAAACGCAACCCTGCTACAGAGAGTAATTGCGCTTAATACCACAGCAGTTTATCCGATTAAATCCTAGCGATATCATCGCCGAGGAGTAAATGATTGAAATGGCATTGCAATTTCATCGTGCAATTTGAGAGATTCACGCTGCGTTGCTAAGGAGATTGTTTGATTTCCGCCTTCCCCCAAAAAAATTAGGTAATCAATTTTCATTAATTTTAAAAATATTTATCCGTTTGGTTGTTTTGAGGGCTATAAATTCCAGAAAATACTCCTAATCAATAATAATCTAAACAGACGTTACAATTTTGTCAATCATGCAAGTATTTATAATCGGTTTTAGGAGTTCGAAAGAAACACAGTCAGAGCTTTGGTTCCAGGTTAGTCCATTATTTCAGGGTTTTTTTAAAATTCACACTCTTTGTTTTTGAATGATTTTTTCATGCAATTGTGATGCTTATTTGCAATTACCCAGTTTATTTTCAAATACTAAGCAAATAATCTTTTTTAAAATTTTGTCAATCATGCAAGTTTTTATAATCGGTTTTAGGAGTTCGAAAGAATCACAGTCAGAGCTTTGGTTCCAGGTTAGTCCATTATTTCAGGGTTTTTTTTAAAATTCACACTCTTTGTTTTTGAATGATTTTTTCATGCAATTGTGATGCTTATTTGCAATTACCCAGTTTATTTTCAATTACCAAGCAAATAATCGTTTTTTAAAAAAATTCCAGGTTCTATTTCATTTGCTCTATTTTCCAACATCATTGTTAAGGTAACTATTATTTCTTCACAGTATTATTTTTCACAGAAATCATTGTTAAGAGTATCTTGCCTTCATATATGTTGCCCCAAGCGATGAACACTTATGATATGTCTGCAACATTTTGAGTACAAATGCCTCTTGTATAGTGTGTAGACTACATATTCCCAGACCCCCTTGTCTTTTAGTTGAAAATACTTTTCCCACACAGCCCAGTCGTATTTAGGTTTACCACAAATGATTCTCCAAAAAGAAATTGTCCATTTACTTGTGTAGAGTTGTAATGATGCTTTGGGAAAGCTTTGTGGAACCCAAAGTGTGGTTGGGGATGGTGTTAGCACATGTTTTATATGGATAATACTGCCACTTTGATTGAGGCAATCCTTTTGCAAAGCATTGAATATTTTGTCAAAATTCAAGAGCAGTAGTCAAGCCCAAGTCATTTTAAAGGCAATCTGCTGTTTGGTGGGTGTTTGGGAACTGGATTTGGTGAGTGGGTAAAAATACAATCAACAAACTGGAAGTTATTTTAACGGGACAACAGAGCGGGTATAAAACATGAAACAACAAAGTACTGTCAAGAACTTTTTCCCGGGCTATAAAAAGAAAGAAACTTTTAATCTAGCCCATTCTCAAATATTGTTTACTTTTTTTCAATCTTCACACTGGCTTTTGGTTTCTTGGCCAAGGGAGTTTGCATGTGTTCAAAGTCCTTAGAAACATCTTGGTTCATATTTACAGTGGCTGAAGTTGAGCTTTCACCTGAGCCCTCACACGATTTGAAGTCAAAAGTCTATGTGATGCCTTTCTTTAGGTTACTGTTGACACAGTCCTACATCAAATAGTTTGTTTTCAGTTCCAACTTCATACAATAAGATAAATAAAAGTGCTTATAACTGTGTGTTAGAGATGGCAGGCAAATATTGTCTCAAAATCATTTTGTCATTAATTATGTTGTGAACTGTATAGTTTTTTTTCATTAAAACTGGATTGTGATGTTTTGACTTCCAACTCAAAAAGGACCGGCTTCTCAATGATAGACTTAAACACTGTAGGAATTTGAGAGTCATCACCCTATAATTAAATTCAAAATCATTAGTAAAAAAACAATTTGCTTAGGAATTTCATTGGTTTTTTATATGTTCAAGGGATGGCAACAAGAAAACTGATTACGCATATTAAAGACAACAACCAAGAATGGACGTGCAAAGTGCGGGTTGTGGAGAAGCGTAATATAAGAGATTCACAGTTTAGTCCCAATAAGTATAGACCGTTTATCTTGCAAGATGACGAGGTAAGTCTAATATTCTCGTAATGGTATCAAAGAATGAAACCCACTAAAGTTATTTGATTAGTTTATATGTTTATTAATTTATGTAATTTATTTAACATAGGGAACAAAAGTATTTGCCATGGCAAACAGCAGAGACATTGATCAAGTTGATCGAGTACTTGATTTGAATAAAACTTACAACATAACTAATGCGGTTGTGTTTCCAAGTAAATATAATGTACCACCGCCATCGCCACATTACAAGTATGTTTGGATGCTCAGTAGGCAGACTTATATTGAAAAAGTCCCCGATTCAGATGAAATTGAAATATCAAACGAGCAAGAAGATACACTAACAGCATTTCATGAGTTCTACAACCTTATTGGAACTAAGTGTCCCATAAGTAAGTAATATATTTCAATTTATTTATAAAGAATTACATATTTTATATATGGGAAATCATTTTTCAATGTGCTTTTATTTAGATTTCATGGCCATTGTTCTAGAAAAGATGCCCCGAGAATATATTTCAGTTAAAGAGACGGCAAAGACAGCATACGAATTCACAATTGTTAATGAAGAGTAAGCAATTTTTAGCCGTAATGCATTTTAATATTTTTGTACATATAACCAACATTTGAAATGATTACCTTGACCAGAATGAAGCCAATGTTACTGACGTTGTGGGAAGACTTTGCCATTTATCAAGGGAAGGAACTCATGTCTGTGTTGGATAGTGGCCGATTCCCAATAATTTTGGGAAAGAGGGTTATTGTCAACAACTTTAATGGTAAACCATTATTTACCAATGTACATATTTTTAGAATTATACTAAAAAATCATTGCTAAATGAATACGGTGTATGACAGGTGTTTCCCTATGTACTCGATCCGATTCCATCTTTGAAGTGAATCCCACGAATCCAAGATCAGAATCCCTTAAAAAATGGTATAAAAGTACTACTCTTATTAATATAAGTACATGCTTAACCATTGAAAGGAATGTAAAAATAATAAATCACATTAACAGGCGAGATGAGAGCATTGATCTTATGAAGAGGTACATCGACCTGAAGACATATAAACATGCCTTAATTGCGCTTGCATATCCTCCTGGCCAACCAAAGACCAAAGTTGTTAACATTGCCGAAATGAATATCCAGGTATGAATCGAGCAGCAGCACTACAACTGTGATTTCTAAAAAAAACGCTACAACACGTCAACATTTTGATTAATGTCGCCACATTTAGGGCAAAGGAGTTTGGGTGGAAGTACATATGCGAATTATAGACGACGCGGCAAGTTTCTACATTGGTTGTGACTATTGTAATCGAAAAGTTTGTGGCCCGGAAGGGGGAAGCTATAGATGTTTGGATTGTGGCAATCCTAATGCACGCGCTGAAAAGAAGTGAGTATTGTTAAATAATTTATAATCACCTACAATGTTTAGATTACAGTTTACATTAAGTTCATTGGTCCAATTTTAGGTACAAGATGGAAGTTGCCTTGAGTGATGAAACGGGACAAATAGTAGGAACCATTTTCGATGAAGATTTCAACCGCCTGTTGCAAATCACAAACACAATTCATCGTTCAGGATCAATTGACATTGCAATATAAATAATCTATTTTATATATATATATATGTGTGTGTGTGTGTGTGTGTATATAGGGGTGGGTTCTAATAAGAATGATCTTCTACGAAAGAAATAAGAATGAATGAGATCCATTGATCTCAAATGATCAATGGATGGAAGCCTTCTACAAAATGGACGGCACCACTAGGTTTTATAAGGTAAGGAAATCAATTCATTGATTGTGAATTAAAATCAAAGAGTAATAGGGGCAATATTTTAAAATTGTATTGCATTTAAAATGGTCATGGATGACACGCAATTATCTATTTCCAAAATTAATGTTTTCCATATATTTGACTTCCACTTAGATTCTTTTTTGGATATGTCGTAAAGTTTTTATCTTTTTTTTTTATCTTTTTTTTTTTTTTGCCATTTTTCTTCAATAAAAATTACTCCCTCCGTCCTATAATGATCTTCCCGGTTCGCAAAACGAAGAAAAATCCCAATTTTTTTCAATCTATTTTATTTAAATATTGGTATAGAAATAAAAAATAAAACATACATATTTAAAAACTACATCAAAAGTTTAACAAAACAAGTGGTGACAAGAATATTTTATTTTATCATATAGGCCATGAAAAAACAAAAATAAATATAAATTCCCGTTAAGTTGGAATAGTGCTCTGGGAAGATCATTATAGGACGGAGGGAGTAATATTAAATATTTTTTTCTATTGCACTCTTTATTCCTCATATGCATTATTTTAATACATTTCACACGGTGGAAAAGATTTATTTATTTACTTTGATTTTTTTTCAAATTTATAAATAATACTTTCTTGTCACGTTATTTTTATCATTTTTTGGTTAACTATATATTTGGTTATTTTTTTATATTATCAAATTTTATTATAAGTTTCGCACATTTTAAAGTAAAAACTTAAAAATATATAAAGACTTTTTAATGTTATTGCACTATGCTAGCTGATAATCTAATATATGTGTCTTGCTTTTATATTTTATTTAATTTTTGTATTAATTTGTGGATTAGTAAATAATGACACCTGAGTAACCTTTTGTGAGGTGAAAAAGCTTAAGAATGTATTGTATTCAGACTAAATATAATACAAATTTGAGAAATAGTTTGCCTATGCGGGATTCGAAACCACAACCGTAGTATGTACTGCTCTACCATTTGAGCTAATAGGCACCAATTTTTTGAAAGAGACTCACAACTTGCACTTATACCTATCAAATATAGATTTTAAGATGAGAATTTTACATAAAATTTTAAGTGCATCATCATTTGCGAAAAAAGCAATATGTACAGTATACAAATGCATCAGAAATTCTCCATAAGATGCATCAATTTTGATTCCATATTAGAGAAAAAAACCCTAAATAGGACTAAAACATATCAAATATACTTAAATAGGACTCCAAAACTTAAATCCCCCAAATAGGACTTAATTTGCGTCGCCATACCCAAAATACCCCTCGCCATTTATGACATAGAACCATTTTCTCCTCAGTGGTCGCGCTACATGTCCACAAGACTACAAGTACTTGAACCACATGTCCACATGTCACATTACCACAGTACAAACTTTTATTTTGTAAATAAAAACATAGAGCTCCTACGTTAGTACTTTCTCTAAAGTAGGAGTAAAAAATGAAAATATAACAAAATAGAAGTTTCATATTTTTTTCCCCAAAATATGAGTTAAAAAACATTTACATTATTAAGCATGATCATGTATATTACAACAAATGCCTATGTAGAGTGTTGGGAAAAAAACCTAAATAGGACTTAGTTTGCATGGCCATACCCAAAATACCCTACCCTCCCTCTCATCTCTGCCGCAAACATTAACTACCAAATACTCCTATACTACTAAATAGGAGTATAAAATAAATATATTACTATTAAAGTTAAGTGTTGCATTATTGTTGACATAAGGTGGCCATTTACAATATGAAATTTTAGTTTTCTCATTTACACGTACAACAATTTATAAGAGTCCTTAAAGTTGGTCATGTATATGCCAATTTGTGGCACTGTACACAACGTTGAATGACAAAGGTTATTTAGATGAAACGAAATTATGAAATAAAAGTGTCAACAAGGGGAGGACATTTTAAAAAGTACATTACATCTTAGTACAAGCAATTTTAAAACAATTAAATCATACTAAAAAAAGTCATGTAATGCAACATAAAGTGATATCAAATAGTGTTTGGATCTTCCACTCATGGAATAGGATTTCTATGAGTTTGGGTGGACTATACCAGCATATGTACATATATACTAACGCCTCAATTTTGTAGAAAGGAGAGATAAAATCATAACAAGATAAGCCGAGACGTCTCCCAATAGCAGCCACCGCATGAATGCAAATAAATTGATCAAGTTGGAATTCACAACATGTGCATGTTTTGTCCTTTAAACTCATATGGACATGTTGACTTTAAATCCATAACAAAAAATTAAAAATATTCAATGGTTAATATGCAATTTAAAGAATTCATGATAGTCTAGTAAAGTATGTAATTTGGATATTACCAGTATCATAATCTGTAATGTGGTGATGAATATTACGAACCATTGTAATGTAAAGTGTCACAGTATGTAATGTGGTAATGTGTATTACAAAGAGTTGTAATGTAGACGAGGCAGGATTGTGAAGTGTGACGCGGAAAGGAAAAAGAGGGCAAAATCGGGAGAGAAAGAAAGAATGTGGCGGGAGAGGTCCTAGTTGGGGGATAAAAAACATGAACTCCTATTTTAGGGATAAACACAATGTTTTAGTCCTATTAGGGGTGATTTCTATCCATATTATCCTTTAGCTTGATTTTGAAAACGTATTGCCCTCTTTTACAAATGCATTAGCTTGATTCAATAATGCACAATGATAGTACGACCGTAGTATGTACTGCTACGGTTATAATACAATCGTAGTACGTACTGCTCTACCGTTTGAGCTAATAGGCACCGATTTTTTTAAAGGGACTCACAACTTGCACTTAGACCTATTAAATATAGATTTTAAGATGAGAATTTAACAGAAAAGTTTAAGTGCATCATCATTTGCGAAAAAATCACTATGTACAGTATACAAATGCATCAGAAATTCTCCCCAAGATGAATCAATTTTGATTTTATATTATCCTTTAGCTTGATTTTAAAAATGAATTGCCCTCTTTTATAAATGCATTAACTTGATTCAATAATGCACAATGATATAAAAAAGAAAAGTAAAAAAAGCAAAAAAACAAACAATAATGTACATCCCTATTGAATACCAAATTCTCCCATCAACATTATCATGGCCAACAATTTTCAAGAATATAACAATATAACCACAATCCACAAATGTTTTACTTTCTTTTTTCTATGCCTTAAAATGTGACTAGAGGTGGGGGTTGTGCTCAACGTAAATGCCGATACAAAGGGGTGGAGTGCAGTACTAGTGTTCTACAATGCTATGCCTAATAGAAGAAAATCTTAAAATTTCACATCACATCAATGCAGACTAGCATAAAAGAAGACATAAAAAGGGGTTTTGAAAAAGGTGGATTATTGTTCTTCTAAAATTTTTACATTTATTTGTTATACTTTTTCCGACATCATATTTTTGGGTGTTTGACTTTGATAGAGTCAAAATTGGTTTAATTGACTTTTATTCAAAAAGGTTATCACATTTAATTCATATTATTTATTTCCATGATTTATTTCAATAAATCATTTCAATGTTCACATTATAAACAATTTCTTCATTTATTCTTAATTTGGGTCTGTACTCAGGTCCCCAATCAAGATCACACAATAAGAAAACATGTTGGATTTATCTCTTTGAGATTTGTCCCAATTATGTTTATTGGATATCAATATATTTTTTATTTCGGTCCAAAGTGTAACACCCCAAAACATACCCGAGAATTATTAATGAATAAATAATCAATTAATCACAATTGTTTTGATTAAAATAAATTATTGTAGGGCTTTGGGCCGATATAAAATTTGTTTTGACATCTAATATTTAAAATCTGGATAAGTCTCATAGAGATAAATCCAATATGTGGACTATTTGTGTGGTCTTGATTGGGAACCTGAGTACAGACCCAAATCAAGAGTAAATAAAGAATTTGTTTAGAATGTGAATATTGAAATGATTTGTTAAAATAAATCATTAGAACAAATGATATGAAGTAAATGTGGGAAACCTTTTTGAATAAAGATCAATTAAATCAATTTTTACTCTGTCAAAGTCAAACACCCAAAAATATGATGTCAGAAAAAGTATAACCAACAAATATAAAAATTATATCGTTGGATAGATTTTAACTGTCCAATCGCAACGGTGCAAACGGAATTCAATTCGGAGAAAGTTGGACCAAAAAGTGTACCCCGACTGGAACCAAATTTGTCTCAATCAGGGAGTGCCATGTAAAATCCCACAAATCCGCCGTCCTGCGCACTAAATCGATCACCAACGAAGAAATGGAATCCTGAGTCACACCCATGTCTTCTTCTTCACTTCTTCTCCTATAAAAGGAACCCAATCTCATCTATTTCTTCATCAAATTCCTTCAAATAAACTCTGAGAAGAAGCTGTGAGTGTAGAGAACAAAGTGGTGCTGTCAATTTGGGGTGAAGTCGCCGGAGCTAGCCACAAACCTCGCCGGAAGTTTTGCCGGAAAATTCTCAAAACCTTCAATAAGCTTCGAGGTAAGCCCGTAGATATATCCAGTGACTAGAATGTTCGTATAGATCGTTTCTACGTTCAAAAACGGTCGTTTGGTTGAGTTTTGTGTTTGACATGTTTGAAGAACCAAAAATCATAAACCATGAAATTGATGTTAAAACTATGAATTAATGATGCCAAAATGATCTATGAACCTTGGAGAACATCTCAATATAGTTTCGTTGACGTTCGATAACTAAAAATGGTATTTCCGAAATTGGACCCGAACGAAGAAGAAGATGAACAGTGGCTGAAACACCACTGTGTGGATCGATCCAAGGGCTTGGA